ACATCCTGAAACACTTTTTTAAACAAATCAACCATAAATACCAATTCTTAACACTGATTCAAATCAATAAAAATCACACAGTCAAAACCCAGTGATGTATAGAATAGAAAACTTTATTCAACCATTAGACATCGCAATTCTAAAGTTTTCAAAGAGGAAAACTTCTCATCTAATGACAATTTTCAAGAGTTTTTCTTCCAGCAGTATCTCTCGGCCATCCAAGAATCCACCAATAGATGTACAATGTACATGCTTGAACACACGATGACCCTAATGTGCAACCATACATTCTTATCAGGTGGTATCCAAATCTTACCATAATTATCATATCATATCATCTACATGTACTATGGGGACTAGCACAGGTCTTTCATGTTTCCATTTGGGGCGGTCGGGTAGCCTAGTGGTTAAGGCGTTCGCTCGTCACGCCGAAGATCCGGGTTCGATTCCCGACATGGGTACAATGTGTCAAGCCCATTTCTGGTGTTTCCCGCCATGATATTGCTGGAATAAAGCGGCGTAAAACCATACTCACTCACTTATGTTTCCATTTCGTGAGATAGCAAAGGTGAGATATTTGATAACACTTCTGTAATAGGCCATGCCGAGCGCCTCACCCCTGTTTTGACCATTCGCTTGCTTGAAGCCCTGTCTGATGTACCAGATGCCCCATACCTTTAATTGCCCAATTCATATTTTTATTACAAAGAGAAGTAGCCACCAGATTGATATTGTTTGATAATTTAATTGTTAAATAGGTTATACGAAAACAATAGCACCAGTTCGGATAGGTTGCGCTTTCATTTAAATCAGCTTACAAGTCGAATTAAGAGATAAACATAAGTGTGTTCGATGTAGAGCGAGGTTACCTGGAGATTTGGTGCCTGGCCGTCTGCTGGCTTTGCACACCGCAAGGTGCCGCACTGAAATGACGTCGCGGAATCAAAAACGTATACATTGTATCAAAAGTGTCACAACGTTCTTGATCCTTCACACAGTGTAACCAAATTGTATAACATTCAACTCGAGTACGTAAATTCAGCAAATCCCAAAGATCTCTGCACTGCCTGACATCGGTAAAGTGCCGGTATTGTAAGTTAGCTACTTTTCTGCATTAATCGTTATATCGAAGCACCCGAATGTGACAAGTCAAGTAAGTGCCCTTGTTTGAAATGTAAATAGCCAATAATTTATATCATTGGAAAGTATATATCCTAACGGTTATAGTCAATAATCGTTTATCTCGAGGTACACATTCATTTAGAATTTTCCGTCAGATATATTTACTGAAAACAATTCCGATGAAATTTTCAGTATTTTTTATGTCAAAACAAAATTGACGGAAGTGGTCGTGATTTTGTTCAAACGCAGACTGTTTCAAAGATTATGTTACAATACGAATGACAGTTTGTATTGATGAAAATCCGGTTACGTCAATATGAGTTTCAGTGTCAGTGTTTTTTCATTAGTGATAGACACGTGGTCTTCGGCAACCCATGCTTGTTGCAAGAGGCAACTAACGGAATCGGGTGGTCACGTTCGTTGACTTGGTTGATGCATGTCATTGTACTCCAATTGCGTGTATCGATGCTCATGATGTCAATCGCTGGATTGTCTGGTCCAGACTCGAATATTTACGAAACTGTTGTAGAATTACATCTAGATAATCATGATATTTCCCTGTCAATCTTCTATCATTGCTTAAGATGCTCGATGAAGGTGGTGGGACAACGTGGGTATATAGTGTCGGAAACAGTTTATTTCAACATGGTGTCGGAGTGTCACTTAGGACAGTGGTTGTGTGAAAGTGGGTATTTGTTGCATTAATCAGAGATTTTATGACTGCTTGTGTCAGGTTAGTGTGGTTGATTTGTCTTCAAAATGGTTTTATCATATATATTTATCATGACTTAATGATTGTTGATAACATTTACTGTCGGTCGGTAATTCTGCTGTTGATACTACCAGGATCGGAATTGTTCCTGAACGAACTCTTTCCAATTCTATGTGAAAAGCATCAAGTTTAAAGCGCCTCTCGTTCACATGTTTCTACGCTATATCGCAAGACCGCTTACAAAGTTGTCAATCCTCTTGACTTTAGACTTCCAAGAGGTGAACACGTTGCAGCCATATTGCGATCAGTGTGAAAAGACTCACTGTCAGTGTGAACTACTGAGGCATAACAATTACATGTCTCTTCTGACATTCAAAATTAGAGGTGAACACGTTGCCTGTTGTAACTTATTTCATTCTGACGAATATACACCCAAGCTCACAATCGCATTAGGAATAAGCTCTCACTCAGAAAGAAATCAACAGTTGCTTTCGTTACGCACTGATTCATCCCATGTCACAACAGCAGTGATGGAGGCAGGGGCAGCTGACAGAAACATATCGCCATAACGTTCTGAAACTGGTGCTAGTTATTCAACTCAACATGATGTTCATGAACTACCAATGCGCAACTATTTGGACGTTGCATACTTTATTGAAACCAGTGTGTAAAGAGTGAGTGAGTTAAACTTGTACATCGCATCGGCAATATTGCAGCCATATTGTGATCAGTGTGTATAGATGTCAGTGTGAATTACTGAGGCATTACAATTACATATCTCTTCTGACATTCAAAGCAAGTTGTTAACAAACTACAAAGGATGTTAATGTAGGTCCATTTCAATGATGAGTAGTAGTAGTAGCATCAGTGAGTTAGTGAGTGAGGTGTGTTTTACGTCGCTTTGAACAGTATTCCAGTTATATCACGGCGTGTCAGCTTAATGTGGGAGGAAAGCCACGCGGGATTCAGACGTTTAACCCGGAGAACGGGTATGATGCTGACAGACCTAGAAACATCATCAGAGTGGATCGGGATTCGAACACACAGTTATAGGTTTCTGACATGCCAAACGGACGCTATTCTGCACAGCGAATGTTGTTGCCTTAAACGACTGGACAACCCGTGCCACCAGTGTAGACATGAGTTGACACGTACCGAGTGAGTGAGTGGGTAATTGGCGGATTTCCTTTCGCTCTAATACGAGTAGTTTGCAGTCATTCTAATGTACTCATTCAAAGTGAAAATTATTTTTTAAATTAGAATTATGCTGTGACTTATTGATGCGGTATTTTTAAAGCAGAACTCCTATTAAATGTTAGCAACATTCCCTGGTTTAAAACTTATTTGTTACCAGTCTAAAATATACCTACATTATTGATTAAAGTATGTTGTATTCCTTGGTAAATATAGGTATAAGATTTGTCCTATAATATATTACATACGTACTGTTCGGTTGCATGTGTCACGTATGAACTGCTAAGTTAGGGACTGCAAAGAGACAGTGAGGAACTGTTGACAATATTTGGTTACTTACAATAAGCTGTGTAGAAATAACACCCATGATCACACCTACATAAAAACCGTGGTATGCACCATGCAATCGTCAATGAACATGGTTTATAAACATTCTGGGGAAATGCATATGAAGCACAAACTGCAGAATTTTACTGTTTTCAGATGGTGTTTGTTTATGTTTTACAGCATTTGGATGGCTACATCCAGGAATATCACATGTCATATATCCCATCACGATCACTGCAACATGCTGCCAGCCAACACCTATACGTGTGCTGTGTTTGCCAGCGTGATAAGAAGGTGTGTGAACTTTTCCTATCCAGCGATAAATCGATAGTTCTGCACCAACGTATGTGTTACTGTATCAATCAGATGTCACTCGAGAGACGTTTCATAGGGAATATAATACGTTGTTGTCAAGTCACGAAGTAATCCCGTTTCTAAGTATATACTGCAAGTATAGATTATGTTTTATTGATATTTCCTTGTGAGTCCTGTGAGTCATTACACCTTATAGCAACCACTCATGATTAAAACGTGTGTCATGGCGACTGATTTATGACAACCATTGTCTGAAGAACATTTGATTCCAAAGGCTAATTACCCTGTAGCCATGACATGTGCATGTCTCCATAACTTAATTGTCATCATGTATTAGGCGCTTATACACGTTGTTAATCCTCACCAACATTTCATTGTATATTCACTGTCAGCCAACCTGGGCTACTATATCACTTCCCGTTAATTACTGTTATTCATAGTATGGCATGTATTGCCTGAATTGTTCATCCCCTGAGCCGTGTCGGTTCATCACCCCCAGAAGTCCCATGTCCAGAGCAACGTTATTGTCTGTCCATTGATGTTCATTGCTATATACATTGTATGTGTTATCATTACATTGTTAGTCAGCTTGGTATTCCGAGTGCTGGTGTAAGGACGACCTCGAGCATGATGTGCCGCTCGTAGGATACGTCCTGAGGTTGAGGTGGAGCTCTGCTCACCTCATGTATACCTGACTGGATGGCCCGCTCATTGCTGTGTTTGTGTTGTCAGAGCAGGTATTCTGCTCATTGTGTATTTGTTGTTTATTGTTTATATGTTGTGCATAAAACGTTCCGGGACAGTGATGTGTCCGTGTCCGTGATTCCCCCAAGAGGTAATATAATGAGTCGCAATTTCTTATCTGCCAGTGAGTGAGTGAGTGAGTGAGTGAGTGAGTGAGTGAGTGTAGTAACACAACAGACAGCAACATCCCAGCCATCGGGGCACACTGCCTGACACCTGACACTAATTGCAACGACAGTAAGTCTATATCATGTAAGTACTGTTCTCGATCTATAGTTGAATCAGATTGATTTAGAATACACTTCCTGTCAGTGTGTACGCCAATCAAATCAAAACAAGTTCAGCCCTTTGTGGCAGCTGGTTGGTCTAAGTCACTCACTCATTCAATAAATCATTTTCGAAAATGCCCTATTGTCTTTAGATGGCTCATTTCGGTACACTTGAAATGTATGTTACACGACAAATAGCGATAAATCAACAAAGGTGTGTTCTCTTGATAATTTGTAGGCATTTTCAACATGTTGGTGGATACTGTTTATACTAATGATTGATACAGTATACAGATTGAAAGAGACAACAAAGGAAATCCATTTTATGGTTCTTTATTTTAGAGAGATGCTGAATCAGTCTTTTCTAAGGAGGAAGCCAGAAAACTGCGACCACAGCCCATGTCTTAATGGGGCGTTACCGTTGTCGTAGAACTTCTTGACGAAAACGTGGTCACCTCTGTTGACATGAAAGGTAGCGCTCATGGTGGTGCTGTCATGGACGCTTGGAACGGTTACAAATGCTTTCCGAGAACCCTGTGCAACCAGCTCGAAATCGGAATGACCTGCACGAGTTGTTTGTAAAAGTGCCCTGAACTGATAGTAACCTGAAAATGTAAATTGTATTTTCCCCTGTATCTAAATTTCAATACAAACTGTTGCTAACGCATAACTGATTTTTCCTTTAGCAGTTTATGTGCCGAAATCTCCTGAGATATGAGGGAAAGTTGGGTTGATGTGATGTTGTAGGGTCCAAAGCTTAAACGATGTTCCCAGAAACGTCGTTACCACAACACAGTCACCCGATTACCTGACATGCAAAGGTTATGCACTTAGCTCGTAGAAAGGCACACGTTGGATACATGTCACAGTCACCGAACAAGGTCTGACAAAATACCGGTTATCATCTTTTGGTACTTGGTTTCCCAGAGTGATTATATTCATTGTAATGACATCAACATGGATATTTGATGAAAGAACTAATGTTTCTAAAGTATCCAACCACGTTGCATTAATCTAATCACAACAAAAACATTCCAGTAAGACAATATGGCTACCTTCTGCTTTCGTAAACGTGGAAGTATTACTGTCTCCCACTCATAATTTCAGACAAATACATATATATATATATATGTTTGAAACATTTGCCAGTATTGGCTTACCGTTATAAAAGACAGATGAAAAGTATATGTACATAAAATTATGGAGGATTTGTTGAATTCCTTAAATATTGAACAAGGAATGACGTGACTAAATATAATGAAATGTCACATAGCCCTGCGTAAAACTGGACTTAGATAAAAGGCATCTAATCAGAAAATGATGAGTGACCATTGTGTATATGAAAAATCACATTCTTACCTGATACAGGTACAGTGAATACCCCAGATGAAGGGTTATACCCACGACCAATGTTCGCCTCAACGCTGCTAAATGGAATGATGTTGCCAACACCAAAGTGGTAAGATTTCGAGGATGCGGGATTCGAATCCTTTGGCAGTGATGCCTTAAAGTACACCAAAGGACCTGAAATGATATCAGTATATGCGTTTGCGAGTGAGTTGTCAGTAAATGAGTACGGTTTAACAACGCCATTGTCAATATTACATCAATTTCACGGTGGGGACACCCAAAATGGGCTTTTGACATTGTTTCGATGTAAATCAAAGCCGAATCGTCAGCATGCGGAGAGATTGCTTTTAGCACTAGGTTGTCCAATCGGTCCTTTTTAAAAACTATTCAGCCCTAAATAAGTCCAAATGTAATAAACGTGATGCTGCACTTTCATTTGTACCCTGTTTTACAGAAGTGTGAATGAAGAAAACAATGCATTATTACACGATTCAAAGTGATTCTACAATACCTATTTCTATGATGAAATGGAAAGGTTTTGTTTGTTTTTATGTTGTTTAACGCCGCACTTAGCGATGTTCCAGCTATACGTCGGGGGTCTGTAAATAGTAAAACCAGGACCAGACAATCCAGTGATTTATATCATGAGAATTGATCCACGCAATTTTGGATAAGATTACATTTATCAACAAAGTCAGCGAGTCTGACCATGCGATCCCGTTAGTCGCCCCTTGAGACAAGGGTGGATTGCTGAAGACCCATTCTCAACCGAATCTCCATGGGTCTGAAAGGTAAACTTAACTCAGCATTATTCTGTAATCTTGGCTCAGGGTGACAAAAGAAACTATCCACAAGATTTATGACAAGAGAGATGATTTTCCAATAGTCACTGCTTCCTTCATGCCAGGTACATTCAAGCCGCTCTAGCCCTTGGTGTCTGCATTTCACAACGTTTGAGGTACAATCGAGCATGGTCTTTCTACGGAGATTTCAAAGAACGTCACAATGTTACGACATTAACGGCCATAAGAAAGCATTCCGGCAGTTTTATGAGATATATGTAGAGGGCATTTCTAAATTATGTCCGAGGCAATTCCCTATCGTACTTGTTTTTTAACAGTGTACTCAATGTTCCCCTGTTTTCGTTCAGAGGAACAATTGCCTTGGCTTTGCGTGTGTTTGTGACAGGTTCCACCGGTTTCGCAGGCTACGCTCACCTGTTCCCGAACATCTGATATTATCCCTATTTAATAATGTTTCATATGCACATGATTATGATATAGTCAGAATCGGAATCGGATTTCTTATGATTATAGAAAGGTTTATTTTCTTTTTTCATACCCAGCATAACAGCAGGTGGCTCAGTCATAACGGTACACTACATTCATCATATTTATGTTATATGCACATACGCACACACTTAAATTCAAATGGTCTAGTATACACAAATATAGTTAAATATCAAACATTCTTTGATATATGAAACAACTTCTGAAGAAGCGATAAAATATTTGCTATCTTTTTGAGAAAACAACCAATATTGCCATTGAATCATTGGAGCTGAAAAAAACCCACTGGAGTTTGAAAAGAGTGTACCATTTCTACGCATGCGTAGATTAATTCACAAAAGACACATGTACACATTGAAGGAAAAGGGCGGCAATGTGATGTAATCAATGTGTCGCGTTGTCGCGCATTTTAACGGGTTTTCACACAATTTAGATATGGCGACAACGACATATTTTTACCTTGAAATTGTCGTCGTTGTGTTAAATTCAAAACTATTATTCAAAGCGGGACAATGCGACAAATGGTCACGTTGTTGCATTGTCTCGCTAGGGTTCATGTTAACACCCTAAATAACATGTACATTTTCCACCATAGACGATCTAGCCGTGATCAAGTTTTAAGCGCACTGAATTAGGGACGACTTTCCACAAATCGAGTGGCTTCAGTCATTTGGCTTTGAGATATTTGATATGCGGTAAGGAAGTTAAATAGCCATCAAAGTTAAGTCCCAAGAACTAGTTCAGGGTTGTTATGCAGCTTATATTTTCAGCAGAATTGTATATCATTAGGTATTAATTTAGAACATTTCAACACGTTTTCAAGGGACCACCTGTGAATTTTATTGAGACAGATTTGTTACTGCCTCTCTTCGGTAATTTGAGGGATCTGAATGATCCTGGACAGGTTTTGGTATGGGGACCATCCCCATGAAAGACTCTCACGTTTGCTTCCATTGTCCAAACCTCGCCTTACCACCTCATCATCTGTCCTCGACTTGTCACACCAATCATCTAAAGACTATGGATATATATTATGATTATGGCTTAGGCTTTCGTGAGCAGCGTCACAAAATGTCCGTTATGATGTAACTCCTCTTGGTGACGTGTCACACTGTATATGTCCCATAACGGCATTGCAAGGGCTTTCTATTGACCCAATGAAGAAATGTGACAGCTTCGAGAAATATTGTCGACATGTTAACATACTCACGTTTACATAATTAGGAAGCATTGTGTTTGCTTTGAAGCAATGTATAACACGCGTTTTCCCATGTTCTTTACAGTTGAAGAAAACGACTAAAGAAGAAAACTACTCAATGACGGGAGTTGATTTATGGAAGCAAACGAGGAAACTGAGCATCTCGGGGTCAGCTAAACACTGACGGAAAAAAACGATTGTTTATGCATCAGTATCAAATAGCGATGATACCAGGCGTTGGTGAACAGGTAGGTAGTGACGTACATGTACACACGCCAAAAACAGATGAATGTTAAAACAGCTGCATCTGTATAAAATCAAATGCTTCTATCTAAAGATATACACTTCTGGTAAATACTTTTACACTTCTGATAATATGTTTTGCGTGCGTGCGTGTGTGTGCGACAGAGTGTGTTTGCAGTTTAAATCGCTTTAACTATTATTTCAGTCATATCAGGGCTCGGAATACAAACACTTGGTTTTTATCACTCTCTAACCCATTTTGTAAAGCTAACCCTTCGTGGCGAGACGCGGCTATAACACACAACATAAATGAAGTGAGTAACATTGATCAGTTAGGTATAACATCACTTTTTGTGAAAGTTACTGCCAAACCAAGGGCCATAATCAGGTACTCGAACCCATAATCAGCGGAACAATTATGGCAAGTAAGTCGAAACAGCGAAATGCGGCCCCATAAGACTCCAGGGCAACCCGTGTTCCCAAGAGACAATGACATTTAGTTGATCACAAGACAAAAGAATATTGTCAAGAAGAGTATTGACATGCATCATTACAACAGGAATATTATATAAACTAGTAAATATATATTGTCAATGCAAGAGAATAACCAGTCTAGATTATCCGCCGAAACAGATTCTATTTGTCGTAAAGGATAAAATTAGCTGTGAAATTATATGAATAGACCACTGAATATCAGTGATGACACCAGATGTTCGCGATAAGGGTAAGCATGTTATACCCTGCCGGTAACACCCGCCCTTCACACAATTTGCATATAAAAAGTAAGTATTTATTGCCTGCCATGCGACGGTGGCTTGATAACAAACCAGACAATCAAGTGATCCCTCAACCAGAAATAGTGAGTGTGTTTACTGATTTTGTTGAAACAAATGAAAACATGTTAATTTTGAATTACCTTTGCTGGGTACAAATTGAGAGATTCTGCTGATTATAAGTAAAGAAAAACGTTTAAGAAATATATTCGTTTTCATAAACAGTGGAACACGTTTATCTGCATCACATCATCACTTCATCCGGTTATGTACTGTCGGTTTGAGAGTCCCTTACAACTTTGAATTATAATTTCGGCAGAATTTGTTTACTTGTTTTACAGATTTTTTTCAGATTCACCTAAAACGCAAAGTGGTATACAATTCTTGTTGGAATGATCCTTTAGTCATGAACGCTGCCATTTGTTTACATTAAGCTTTTTTGCTTACCTTTTCCGGCAACCTCCTTTCCCGTAAATGAACAGACTGCCACGCAGAGAAATAACATCAGGTGGAGCTTCATGTCTGGCTGCTGTCAGGGATAGTGAATTGCATCGAATGAAGCGTTTACATTTTACAGTTTACAATATAACAGTTTCAAGCTGTCATAAGCTTTCATAAAGTATGCAAAACTCACCCACGTTAAATCTCTGCTCACACGTGACAGATGTTCCAGGTGGGTTTCCTGAGCTGTCAATACGTCATACGGTTTTGAACTACGTGCAGTCTGACACTTCTACTATCGTGTTCAATGTATTCCACGAAAATGAATATTTGACTTCAAATTGAAAATGTGTATGGTTAAGGATTGAGTGTGTACTTTTTGCGGTTCATTAAGGTATGAAAAACCGTTGTGCAAAGCGGATTCTTGCAAAAGTTTGACCATCGGTTATGATTCATACCTCTATGAACCGAAAAATAAGTCAATCCTTAAAATAAGATTTGACAAAGAAATGTGTTATCTCCTTAAGTTTTATATAAAAAAATATGTGTATGTCAAATCAGATTTATGTTTCTAGGTTTGTCAGCACCATTCCCGTTCTCGTGTGTTTCACCGAAGTGGTAAACGTCTTAGACCTGCATCACTTCGGGTTTCCCTCTCACATTAAGCTGACACGCCGCAACTGGAATACTGTTAAAAGCGGCGTTAAACCCAACTCACTCACTCACTCAATCACTCAAATCAGACAACATTCCAGGCGTAGGATGACGTACTGTGGCGTGATATCACTCATGTGATTGTTTTCTTTATGCACATATCTTGACACGCCCAGAAAATCAGTATCTAATCAACGGAGAGAAGCATCAAACAAAGTTCATAGGACCTGTCAATCAAGACAAGAGGCAAGAACAGCCCCGTATGACTGTTACTAGTAACCAGAATAAATATGCAAGGGAGAAGGCGGCAGTTTCAAATGACATGTCACGAGCTAGGAGAGTATACATCCCAAGATAGATGTATCGGGTCCCCATTCCCTGCTGGTGAACAGAGGCACATTGGAACAAATGTACTTGCCCAGGGTGACGCCACACGTTTTGACACTTTTGTTTCGGGTGTATGTATTCGTGTTGCTACCATCTGGTCATCTACCATAGGATGAGTGGATTCTTTGGAGTGCATAGGGTGAATGTAATGTATACTAGCGGTAGTGACAACACTGTAAAGACCTGTTAATACTGGTGGTCCTTAGGCTGAGTAACAACCTGGCCACTTGGCTGGTTGGTTTGTTTGTTGTTCAACGCCACACTCGGTGGTCTGTAAATAATCGAGTCTGGACCAGACAATCACGTGATTAATATCATGAGCATCGTGTCACTTGCGGGATACGATGTCAGCAAATGACGTTTGCTAGCCTTGCGCTTTTGACACCCTGCCTATTCCACCCCCTGGGAACCCCGCGGGGGAGAAGGATGTTCGTAAATCAATATGAATCTTCAACGTGTGAGTTCACGTTACACTGATAATAAATAACTCATGGTATGTAGTGGATGGTGAATGTGCACCAATGGACATTGGATAAAATCGCCACTGGGTGCGATGCAAATGCAAGGTGTTAAATCAATTAACTGGCAACAGTTGGCTCTATAGATAATAAACATCTAAATCACGATCATCGAAAGGTGTGAGATATTCGTGAAATTGAATATCCAACGCATATACAGTTGTTACGGGGTGACTTCCAAACTTAAATGAAGACTTTAATTTAGAAATCCGTTCGCGCAGACCTAACTAGAAAACGTCAGTAAATGAACACACAAGATCTGTAACTGTAAATGTAACTGCGCTCGCTGATGTTCAGAATATCGTCACTTTTGATTGTTTTGAAAGAGGCTTTTCAATTGGTAAATAGATTAACAGGTTGAAAAGACCTCCAATCGTCCCCTCGTCGCCTTTATACAGCGATCCTTATAGAAATTGTCCCATCCCGAAATTTATCGAACAATCAAGTTTGCTGTGGCCATGTTAACATGAAAGTGCATATTACTCCAACAAGTGTTGCACAAAACCATTCCAGAGAGCTCCTCTCGCTGTTGTCGACAGCGGTTTACGATTTCGTCGATATCGTGAGCATGTGTTAATGAATTAATGATGATACCAATTTCTGATTTGTTCCATACTTATGTATATTCTGTATCGCTGGCACAAATGTGTGGTGGTTTCTTATAAAACTCAGGGGTGCCCCGACACGCAATCAATCATACGATCCATACGTCACCTCTGACGACAGCATAGGTTACTGGTGATTATGGAGTTTAAACTTCATCTAAATATCTGTTATGGGATTTTTAGAGCATCTTTATCTAATTTTGAAAAAAAATTACATTTATTAGTGCCTATTCCCAATATTTTACACACATACTTTAAGTTAGTACATATAGTAAAACATTTAACCAGATACCCATGTGAAGCGCATCGCCCATGTATTGATCACTCGCTTGGTGGTAGCGCCGTAAGTTGTACCAGATGTCCAATACATTTAACAGTCCTTTTCATATTTTTATAACAGAGAAGTTGCCGTCACATTGATATTGTTTTATAATATAATTCTAATTCAAATAATACTTATTATGTTCGCCTATTAGCACAAGTCCGTCAGATAGGATGCGCGGTCATTTCAATTAACTGGCAATCCGAATTTATTTACGACCCTGAGTGTCTATTTTCATGTTTTGCTTATCATTTGGAATCTGGTGATCGAATCCACGAGCATCATATCCTGTTTTATCCAAGACTCCACAAAACGAATTTGCCGGATTAGAAGTGCTCAGCAAATCTTCCGAGAGTTTCCATTTTCGGTGGTACCCATTTGTGGGAACTAACCAAGTGGTACTGTTTTTTCCGTAGTTTGGATGACCCAAGAGTTTGTAGATGTTCCCTCCAACAAGGTTTCACATACCCTAACCATTGTAATCATATGTAAGCATCACTACACAATTGTTTTGGTTAAAGAACTTTATATCAAATAATGCCACATGTATGACATAACCACGAATTAGTAATATAAACTGAAAGCTGAAGACTTGTCCATTTCTGTTTTGAACTGGATTCCAAAGAGATACATTACTGGATCCAGCAAATTGTACCATGGAAACCGTGTCTGGAAGATTAGCCATGATCCTTACTTCAATCAAGGACGGGGTTTCTTTATATTCACAGAACGTATTTGAGACAAGTGGAATTAATACCTTGTGAAGTCTTGAAGTCTTTTTGAATTTTGAATCCCTTTACACTTATGAGTCAGACTTTTTGCTCGGATTAACAAAATCAACACACGGGTATTATCGGTCAACAATTGAGAGACAAATGGGTCGTAATCACAGTGTTATCACTCGTTTGACTGTCAAACATGGTCAAACCAATGATGTCAATGACAGGCATAGGTCTGGTAGGCCAAGAAAGACCTCTAACAGAGAGGATAGACGACTTTTCAGGATAGTCAGACGAAATCCATTTGCCAGTTAAACAGATTTAAGACTGCAGTGGATCACCCATCAGAGACTCTCGACGATGACCGTAAGGCGTCGCTCCAGAGCAGCTGGTTATAACGCCAGAAGGCAAGTAAAACGTCCTCAACAGAGTGAGAGGCACATGCGGAATCGTCTGATATGGTGTCGTGCCCGTAGTCGATGGAACTTGGCCAACTGGAGAAGGATACATTGGTCTGTGGAGTGTCGAATGCTGCTACGAACTGTTGATGGTCGAATACGTGTTTGTTGGTAACGTAACACTCGTTTTGCACCAAGGAACATCCAGAAGACCTTAGCATGTGGCGGGGGGTCTGTCATGATATGGGGTTGTGTTTCCTTCGGCTGCAAACCTCCGCTGGTGACAATTCGTGGAAACCTGAATGGCCAACAATACCAAGATGCCGTTCTTCGTCAAGTGGTAGTCCCTCATTTTGACAACCATCCTCTTCAGACAAGACCTGTTTACATGGACGACAATGCTAAACCACACAGATCTCGGGCAGTTTTGGCCTATTTGCGTCAAGAAGCTATTGCCACTCTTCCATGGCCGGCCTGTAGTCCGGATCTTAATCCGATTGAGCATCTCTGGGACATTCTTGGCATCATGATCAGACATCGTGATCCCCCAGTTCAAAATCTCGCTGGACTTGAAGTCACACTTCATGGAGAATGGATCCGTTTGCCTCAGAGAAGCATTCAACGACTTGTAATGAGTATGAGGCGTAGGGTTGGAGCTGTGGTCAATGTCCGTGGGTCATACACACGTTACTGACGTTTCTGTCTTGCAATAGGCTCTGCACTCCCTAGGGTGTCTATGTGACACCTGATATGATCTGCTGATATCATGACAGTTACATGACAACAACAAAATTCATTTTTATCTAATCCTTCAATTTCTGGTCTTCGGTAAAATTCCGTTCTGCTCATATTCTTTTGGAACACAAGATAAACTGGCTTTGGGACAACTTTCGCATCACATGAGGCTTACATATACGGCTTATAACAATCGTTCATCTCGTTATAATAGTCATCATTAAGTGCCAAAAGTAACAGCTCACAAATATGGTTGGTGGCGCTTAACTTTTGTGCATGTGTTCATATGAGTGCACTAATCTTGACCCTGACCTCAAACCTCATTTCACCTCACCTCACCTCACCTCACTAAAACCAATTACATACTGGTGTAGAAGTACATCTGTCAGTCGGTAACCACCAGAATCGGAATTGTTCCTAAACGAACTCTTTCCAATTCTATGTGAAAGGCATCAAGTTTAAGGCACCGCCCTTTCATTTGTTTCTACGTTATATGGCAAGACTGCTCACACAGTTGTCAATCCTATTGACTTTAGTCTTCCAAGAGGTGAAGGGGGCACGGGCGGCCCAGTCGTCTAAGGCGCCGTGATTCGCTGTGCAGAGTTGCGTCCCTTGGGCACGCCAGAAACCTATGATTGTGTGTTCAAATCCCGGTTCGCCCCGATTATGTTTCTAGGTTTGTCAGCACCATACCCGTGCTCGTGGGTTTCACTGAAGTGGTAAACGTCTGAGACCTGCATCACTCGGGCTTTCCTCCCACATCAAGCTGACACGCCGCGATATAACTGGAATATTGTTAAAAGCGGCGTAAAACCCAACTCACTCA